TGTGTAAGCATCTCAGCGCTGGCAGGGGTCTCCACACGGCTGCTCCAGCACCCAGGGCTGCATTGGGGTAGGTTCATGTGGCTTCTCCTTGGGGATGTCTTGCAGGAAGTGAGCCTTGCCAGCTTAAGCAGGGAACTAGCTAAGGCAACTTTGCCCAGGTCTGACCATCAGAAAGCAAGAGACCCGAGAACTAGAAAGGCAAAGGCGAGGCTCACTGAGCCATTTATCCCCCCACCCTTCAATTAACCCCACATGTGTTTATTGGCCAGGTTGGCACAATATACTGACTACCTCAGGCTGCTTTCAAAAATCAGGTCTAAGCCAAACAAGAGTTCCCAAGGGGATCTGCTGGGCCAGGTCAATTCAAGACAGGCCAGCTCAGAAGGTTACGGCAACTGATTTGGGGGGCTCCAAACCTGGGGTAACAGGGATAGATGTCCTCAAAGAGCACAGGAAGATCGTGGGGCTTCTTTTGAAGACGTTTGGAGAAAATGGGAAGCTGCATTGTTGAGGGAATGGCCAAGAAGGTTGCAGCAAGGAGTGATTTTCCATCTCGGTGATGTTCTTCAAAGATGGCAGGGCTGCCCCACCAGAATGCTGCTGGGAACCGTAGCTCACCCACTCTGCTGCCCTGATCCTGCCCCTTCAGACTTCTTTTTGTTTGCTCAACTCAAACAATAGTTAAAAGAAACCCAATTTGAGTCCCTGGAGGACGTCAAAACGGCACTTGACGTGGGTCAAATTGAAGAGCACAGAATTCTTCAGTGAGACTTTCCAGCTAAATAAATGGATAACCTTTACGCTCACTACCATCAAGTTGATTCTGCCCCATAGCGACCCTATAGGACAGAGTAGAGCTATCCCTCTGGGTTTCTGAGGTGGTAAATCTATATAGAAGGAGAAAGCCTCATCTTTCTCCCAAGGAGTAGCTGGTAGGTTTGAACTGCAGACCTTGTGGTTAGCGGCCCAACTTGTATCCCAGTATGCTACCAGGGCTTCTTCTGGTGAAGGGTTAGAGATGGAAAACATCTTCAGAAGTGAAGAACTTATAGCTTCACATCTGATATTTTTGTTTAATCAAATTTTCTATGATTTTGTAAAGAAACCGGTTACTTACCCTCCTATATCAAAACTTCTCATGCTGTGGAGAGGGGTGCTGGCTGCTTTATCTTTCAATCTCTCTCAGAGTTACAGATCAACTCTCTGTAATCCTGTCAACGATTGCTGTGCTTACCTGTAAGCTCACTGGGCTGAACCAGAAGTTCTAGGTGAGGTGGGTGGGCCCCACCTGTCCTGACCCCTCCATTCCATGCCCTTCCAACAATAACAGTGGTACAGCAGTGATTCCAAACGGCTGGCACTCTCATGGGAATCACCGTGGAACTGTGCCCGGGATCATGTTCAATGGAGAACTTTTGGGAAGTAGATCCCCAAGTCTAGGGTCAGATTGCCCAATAAACCACGTAAGCACAAGCTCACTGAGGTGCACTTCTGCAGTGAACACATTCACATTTTATTTACATCAGTGATTTGGCTTCTGGGTCTGGCTGGCACCTGCCTCTCCCCTGAATCCAGGGCATCTTGAGCATCAAAGTCTCTTTTCAAATCTGCAATCCCTGGCAGAGATGGAGTACCAGTAAGAGAGGTAAGCAGTAGCTTACTCGCGCCTATTGATTTGTAAGGCGTAAGCGTGTGGTTATCCTGATTATTGGGTGATCTGCCCTTAACCAGGCCTTTCTTCTTAGGGGCCCCGGGGTAGACTCGAACCTGAACCCAGATCTGGACCTGTTGGTTCAACTTTGCACCATCTGGGCCACCTCCCTGCCACCAGAGTCGACGTAAGAACAAGCTTCACAACCTTCACAGCTTGGGGCTGTGAAGAACATCCTTCCCACCGTAGCTGGGCTTTGTCCCAATCAGGGCTTCTCTCCATTAGAGGCTATCAGCCTCACTGGGGGAGCTTGTTAGAAACATTTTCCCTCCCTTGGCTCTACCTGAGGCAGCAGACTAGAGGTAGAACCCAAGAGCCAGCATCCCTTCTCCTTCCACCACCTTCCACCACATATACAAGCAGCCTGTGAGCTGAGGCAGGTGGGAAGGACAGGGCACTGACCTTGCCCTTTCCATCCTCCCAGCCGACCACCCAGGTAGTTCCGGGGCTCTGGGGTGGCCCTGACCAACCCCTCTGCAGTAAGGCCCATTCTGACTCTGGACAGCTCCCCCACTGTGACAGAGTAGGTCTGTCCAGACAGCACTATTGACACAGACGCAAGACTGCCTGGCCTTCCTGCAGGGCACCACCTGCTCTGCCCACGAGCTCGCTCTTCGGGCTGTGGCTGGCCTGGAGTGGTCGGTTTTTCACAACATGGCCTGGGGCATCAGCTCTGTAGAGCACCGAGGCCCACAGCCCAGGAGAAAGGGGCCAATCCAGCCCAGGCACACACTGGGGGCGATTCTCCTGGATCCGCAAAACCAAACCAAGCCGACAACGCAAAGGAGAGCCGGCTGGGTAAAGGCCATTGGACCTTCCCAGGGGTGCATTTCTGGTGAGGATTTTGGGCCTTAGTCGGAGAGGCCCTGGGGAACCCTTGTTCTGGTCCCCAAGCTGAAGACTCTGGACGGTGGCATCTAGCCCCCCTGCCCCTCACCCCACCCCATCCCTTGAGCTATTTGGATTCTTCAGGTGGGTCAGGGTGTTTTTTTCTCTCGCTGCCAACCACACACGGCATAAGGGTGAACAAAGACATTTATTTGTAAAACCAATTCCCAGTGGAGGCGAAACTGGATCCGTGGCAGGCGGGACGGCCAGCGTTCAGAGGGCCACATGCAGACCAGCCGGAGTGGAACACAGGAGACACCACCGCCTGGAGCGCGCGGCCCAGCCAGCCAACAGCAGAGTCCACTGTCCTGCCCGCTTGGGAGCCCACGTGCACCGCGAGGGCCTGGGAGAAGGCAGTGCGGCCTGACAGACGTCTGAGCTGTGGGGACCGGGGACCAACTGAGGGAGCCGCCGCCGGTTCTGCACAGCTTGCTCGCTCCCCATGGGCCCCCCACCGTCCAGCCAGAGGGAAGCAGCCTCGAACCTGGGCCTGCTCACATGCCCATCCGGATGCTCTGAATGATCTGGAAGATCGCTGCAAAGGCAAAGGCAGAGTTCAGACTCCACAGGGCTCCCAGCTGGAAGCCCGAAGCCCCCCAGCCCCCAGCCCCCTCCCTGCAGTGCGGGCTTCATCAAGCCAGGCGTTCACAAGGGGTCGGCGAAATGCTTTCAAAATTGGGGCTCACCGATGCCTCAGGGATTTATCCAGGGAACTCCTGCTAATTCCATCCAGGGTGAGGGCCAGGCAGAGATTTGGCCCTTCCCAGGAGGCGTTCTGCCCCGCCTGGTAGAAGGGAGTATGGGGTTTCCAGTGGCCCAGGGAGTGACCTCTGATTTGTGTGTTAACTCTGTGTTGTGAAGCGGCAGGGTTGTGCTGCACAGGGCATGCACGTCTTGCCCCATCGCCTTCACTGTCAGCCCCTCACCTCCTCCCCATTGGCAGCGTCCAGGCCTCCTCTTTTCCTGACCCTTCTGAACCGTGTCCTTGTGTCAACGCTGCCCCTCGGGGCTCAAATTGTTGGTGATTAAGGTGTGTGTGCTCATGCCCGAGTGTGACTGCTTGCCTTACAGACTGTCTACTGTTTAGCTGAAAGTTAAGCCATGAGGTTTTCAGTTCCAGACCTGCAGGGTCACTAAGGGCCATAGGCTTGGGAGTTCCTTTGGTCTCTAGTCAGACGGATCTCTTTTAGGATTGGCGTTCTGGCCCACGTTTGTCTTGTGCTGTGTCCAGGACCTACTCTGGTCCCTGTGGGCACCGTTGGTAGTGGTGGCTGGGCGCCATCTAGTTCTTCTTGTCTCAGGGTGGAGACTGTTTGCTTGGTCCTCCGGATGGACCAAATTTTGGATTCTGGATGGACCCTCAGCTGCCCTCAGCGAGTCTGTCCCTTCGAAATGACAGCGACCTGTGAAACATCCACCTCTGGGCTGGTGAGGAGGGCCCGGCATGAACAGAAGACCATCGAGCGAGGGCGCGGGCTCGAGCTAGCCCTTGATGAAGACGTACGTTTAGGCTGCCTGTTCCAGGTGCCGTGAAGTCTGTCCTGACTCGCGGTGACCCCATGTGTGTCAGAATGGAGCCGGACTTTTGGAAGTCGATCACCAGGCCTTAGTCTGAGGCACGTGAGCCTTGAACCTTTTGATTAGCAGTGATCCCATTAACCATTTAACTCCCTAGGGAATCAATCCCTGGCTGCCTGTAACCCCCTGATAGGACGCTGTCTCCATGGTGGTGTAGTGGTTATTCGTTGGGCTGTGATCCGAATGGTCAGCAGTTCAAAACCACCAGCAGCTCCTTGGGAGAAAGACTGGGAGGTTACAGGCTCACTCCCCCCCACCCCGCCCCCCCAAGCGGGTCACTCTGAGGCAGCATGGCTGGAAGATAATGGGTTGGGCTTGGATTTTCCTCAACAAGAGCATTGCTGATGGGCCCGGGGCTATTCATCGTTACTAGCTGGCCTTACTTCTTGATACACCAACGTGGTGGCTAGCCAGCAAGCCCCCAGAGGATTCCGGCCACCTCCACTCCACGCCCACCCCTCCCATCCCCTTGCCTATTTTGGTAAGAACTGGTCCAACGAGCTCCCAGCCTGCTGCTATCCGTGGGATTCTAAATGTGTTCCAGGTGAGGGGGGTCTCAGTGTCTTGTCCCGGCCTCCCAGCTGGCAACACTGATCCCTCTGGATGACGACAACGCTGGTGATGACAGCAGGCCGTAAGTGACTGGTGTTGAGAGGAGGCTGGGTGTCTCATGGGTAGAAGCAAAATAAACTCTGAGTTCACAGAGGCCTCCCTCCCACCTTCACAGCAGGCGCCCAGAGTCCGTCCGGGGGCAGAGCTTCCCGAGTGGCCAGCAGTCGCACCAGGCTCTGCGAGTCCTCAGGAAACGAGGCTCTCCGTGGTTGCCCATCTAACGCTAATGAGCATGTGGAGCAAACGTGCAGCCTGTGTTTCAGGCACACACAGATAAAGCCAAGGGCTCGGGCATCTTTTTAGGTTGGCTGGATTTGAGTGGTAGATAAAGCCCCGATGCATTTTCCTTTCTCCTAAAACAACAAAAAGAAGAAAGACACCATAGCTCACGTGGTCACTGCCTTCCTCAAGTGGGTGTCTGAAGCGAGGATGGAGGGATACCTTTTCATCACTGTCACCACATCACCACGAGGAAGACCCGGCGTCATGGAGGCCGCTGGGATCTTGTTCCGAAAGCTGTGCGATGCTGTTGGGTCTCATCTGCTGTACTTCGTTCTCTCCACCCATCGGCCAGCTTCTTAGGCTCGGGGGGCTCACATGCTGCCAAAAGCTAGGCTCATCCGTGGTGGGATTCAGCTGGTGAGCACAGGTTTGGCAGAACCAGTACCTAAATTTTTGTTGAGTTGGCAAACTGGTTGCAAGAACAGCACCTGTACCCAGGGTTCTCTTTGAGGTGGGCAGCTGCCCACGTGGAAATCGCGTTCACATTCCTTACGGCTTTTCAATGCTATTCTGGGCACCAGGGTATTCTAAGCGCCCTTGGTAACGTGCATTGCATCCACTGGTATCAAAAATCAGATGGACCTACACTTTGTAATGTTTATTCATTTTATAAAACTCGTTATATTTTTTATGAAATGCTACATTTTTATTCCCTTGTGTTTGTGACATCCGTGAACAAACATAGAACGTAAAGAGGAAAAGTGTCAAGCAACCAGAGGGTGATACGCTGTCACCCCTTTCAGCGTAGTGTTGCACCCCAAATTCCCAACGATCTTGGGAGTGAATTACACAATTCCTGAAAGTGTTCAAAGGGCTAAACGTATTGTCAGCACAACTGCAGTAAGTTCAGCAGAAGCAGAAAGGATTTTTTTCAAAGATGAACATATGTTCAGAGAAGAGAAGTGGCCTATTTCTAATCTAGCCAACACAATGACTATTATCTAATTGGCCTTCCTCTAAAGGAATGGGATGCCATGCCTTCAGTGAAAAGATGGCTAAGGATCAATCACTCAGCCGATGATGCTCAGATAAAAGGGAAGAATGTGTCAGTGAGGATGGCGGTCAAGAAACATCATGGAAATATCTTAACAGTTTTATTGTTTTTCTTCAGATATTATTTACTATTTTTCATTAATATTTTAAAACTCTTTCTTGTAACACAGTAGTTTTGTTTACCTCTTTTATTATTCTTATTTAAGTATTAACTATGAAATAATAAACTACCTCTAAGTATGTGATTTTTATACTTAAGATGATCATTAGGGCAGCAAACTGGTTGTTCAATTATTTGAATCCCATCCCTGGGGCCAGTGGTATTTCAAGGATCAGTACAGTCACAATAGTAGAGAGGTTTTGATGGAGATTTGCGATTAAAAGACCTGGAAGAAAATCCTGGTGACCCTATAAGTCAGGTGTCCTCAAACTATGGCGGGCCACATGTGGCCCTCTGAGGACATTTATCCCGCCTACCGGGTGTTTTTGCCCCATTTGTTTTTTTGCTTCAAAATAAGAGATGTGCAGTGTGCATAGGAATTTGTTCATACTTTTTTTTTTAAGTATAGTCCATCCCTCCAACAGGTCTGAGGGACAGTGAACTGGCTCCCTGTTTTAAAAGTGTGAGGACCCCTGCTATATAAAGTATATCTCCTTAGGCCTGCCAACATTTGGTTCAGTTGAGCCTGTAGTCTCCAAGCATCAGGGTCAACTTGGCAGTCACTACCAACCAGCTGCACTTGTGAGCTCTCCTTCCTGGGTCTCCTAGTTGTGCCTTGGACACAGTCAGGTGTTACTGCACCAACCTGCCCTAGGCCCAGTGTTCACGTATGTCACGTTGCTAGAGCTCGGGTGGGCTGCTCGCTGCAAGGTCAAGCGGTCAAAACAACCGGCTGTTCCGTGGGAGGCAGACGAAGCTTTCTACTCCGGTAAAGAGTTGCAGTCTCAGAAACCCACTGGGGCAGTTCCACTCAGTCCTATGGGGTTGCTATGAGTCAGCATGGACTTGATGGCAATGAGTTTTGAGATTACAACAGACATCAGAGTGAGGGCCTGAGCATAACTACCAGCTCTCTCAAGACGTTAGCCCCAGGGAATCACTAAACAGCTCTGAGCCGGGGTTTCTTTCCTTATAGAACCATCGATAAGGTGGACCTTAAAGAATTACAAAGAGCACCTATCATGACGAAGCTAATTATCTACCTGTAACAGAGCTCAAACAACCAGGTTACTTCTCCTTTAACGAGGTCCTTAGGCTAGACATCCATTATCCCGATTGGCCGTTGTGACTCACAGGGACCCTCAGCACAACAGAGCCAAGCGTGGCCCAGACCTGTGTCAGCCACACAGCTACTCTGGCGCAGAGCCCATGGTTGCAGCGCTGGGCTAATCTGTCCTGTCCAGGGTCCGCCTCTCCTTCGCTCTGCCCCTCAGCTTGACCGTACCTAGGGTCCTTCTCCAGGGACTGGTCACTCAGGACAACATGTCCCGAGTCCATGCTTTGTCAGTCAGTGAATAAATAGTCTGTGTGTCTTCGTCCATCATATCCCGGAAAGCCGTGACTGAAAACATTCCGGGTGGCGATAATCTCACTCAGTTCCTTGTAACAGCTGCAAATGGCTCTGAAGAGTGCTGGGCAAAACACCACTTCTAGGAGAAGCAGCACTTCCAGTGAAACCACTTACCTGTTTCTGTGCATCTGCTTTAAGAAAACCAATTCAAGCTTCTCACAGATCCTAATTGAATCTGCGAATTAGCATGCAAAAGGCCTCGGGCCTTGACCATGTTTACAAATGACCCTTAGAAACCGAAGGCTCTCGGAGGAGAAATCACTGTGAACACTGTCTGTTGTAAGCTCACTGTTGGCCTCCGCGACTATGCTGTGATTCCTGCTTCCCTTGTCCTATCACCGTCTTTAGAAAGCCTTCAGTCTTTTCTCCCGGTTAGTCAGGGACATGTTGAGGGCCTGCCGGTGCTGACCCAGAGGGTGACTCCCCGCCCCCACCCCCCCCAACCTTCCAAAGGCGGACTTTGGGAGGAGGCGAGAGACAGGAAGGGAGCCGAGGGGCAGTTCAAAGAGGGAAAGGAAGTGGGGAGTCTAGACCCTGACAAGTTAATAACTTCACAGCGGGTGAACAAAGCTGAGAAAACAGCTGAGCGGGCTGCAGGAAAGGGGCTGTGGCCAGGCGAGACAGCGGGGAGGAGGTGGCCAAGAACGGGAGGCACTTCAGGTCAGGGACTTCAGTCACAGGGCCTCAGAGGAATCCAGGGGGGAGCAGGCACCCCAGGACCCATCCGCGTCTGCGCAGGCGGAGTCAGGATCCCTGGCCTCAGAAACCTTTCCTGAGCACATCTCTCACGCGAGAAGTGCTTCCATTCCCACAAGCCAAGACAATCTGCTGGCTTCACGGCCCCCAGCAACTGCCTGGCCACGCCTGTCCCCAGAGCCGTCCCAACAGGCTCTAGTGCCTTCCCTGTGTTCTCCTCAATCCACTTCATTTGAGCGTCCCTCTTCACTGAAACCAGGCTGAAGGAGCCCTGGTGGTATTGTGGTTATGAGCGGCACTGCTGACGGCAGGGTCAGCAGTTCGAAACCACCCGCCGCTCCTCAGGAGAAAGATGGGGCTTTCTACTCCCGTAAAGAGTTGACAGTCTCAGAAACTCACAGGGGCAGTTCTGCCCTGTCCTCGAGGGTCGCTATGGGTTGGAGATAAGCCGTAGTGGTTCAGGGGTAAATTCTCGCCTTCCAGGCGGACGGCCTGGGCTCAATTCCTAGCCAGTGCACCCCATGTCTGTGGTGGCCTGTGTGTCGCTATGATGCTGAGCAAGGTTCAGCGGTGCTTCCAATTGGAAACAGACTTGCAAGAAAGGCCTGGTGCTCTACTTAAGAAAATCAGCCAATGGGAAGTGTAGAATCCCCGCAGTCCAACCGGCATGTGATCAAGGGGATGGTGCAGGGTGGGGAAGCAACGCGAGTCCGGGGCTGGCCTGGCTGTAATTCACAACCACAAGGCCACGGCCACAGAGTCACTCGTGGCGTTTCTATCTTTCAGTCCACAGCTCCTGCTCCTTCCTGAGCCCTTGCTCCTGGAAACGCCCTTTCCTCGCTTCAGGGATGCCAGTCTCCTCCCCTTGAGGCCCCGCCCCACCATCACACACTGACTTGTCTCTGTGCGCAGTTCTGGGTTTTCCTCCCCTCACTGTATTTTTTTTCTCCCTGGAAGATCGCATCGGGGCCCACAGTTTCCACTGCTGCTTAGATGTGAACGACTCACAGAAGGGGCATCTCCACCAGGGACCCCCTGGAAGCTTGGCACCCACTTGCTACCAGCTCACTGACGTCCACCTTTGGGTGGGTCCACGCGACAGGACCTCCTGGGAGTTCCCGCACTGCCACACTATGCCCCAACTTGCCGTGCAAGCCTGGGCGCCGAGGTCACCGAGGAGCCCTATAGGCGAGGCCAGAGGTCTGTGGCTTCCACAGAAGGACCTGTCTCTCCTCTGCAGGCCCACTCTAGTCCAAGCTGCCCACAGCCGCCCCCGCCGCCTTCGATGACCAACCGGTCCCTTCTTGCTCCTCCCTAATCTGTTCTCTAAGCTGTGGCTAGAGCTAAGAGCAAATCTCCCTAATCTGTTCTCTAAGCTGTGTCCTCCAGCTAAAAGCAAAGGAGATTGCACCGCCCTGGGTTAAAAGCACATCAAAAAACCCCTGTTGCCCAGTCCCGGGTGAGGCCCTGTGACCTGCCCGTTCTAGTCCTGTCATCGCTCTCCACACACGCTGCTTCCCACTGAGAGGGCACATGCTCTCAACAACTCCTGTGCTTCCTGGCTGCTGTATGGTTCTGGTTAGGTGCCCAGGGCTGGTTCCGACTCCTCTCTGTGGCCACCCTGTGCCCTTCCCCAGAGACTGGTCTCTCCTGACAATGTGTCTTACCACCCGGTTTTTACCGGATTTTTACACACCACTGTTTCTATCGGAAAGATTCCCCCCTACCCCTTCTGCCAGTTCTCCCTCTGCTAGACTGTTCTGAAAAGCCTTCTTTCAACACCTGGAGCAGCGGTTCTTAAACTTGCATCTGCATCACAGCACCCTCAGGGGGTGTCAGAACCCAGATGCGCTCCACCCCCATCCCCACCCCAGACCCTGGAGCCTTTCATGGAGGAGGCCGGAGCTCTGTGGGACCCAAGAGCTCTGTGCAGGGGATGCTGCTCCAGGGACCACACTTGCAGAAGCTTTGCCCAGAGTGTGCTGTGGGTTCACAGCCTCGGGGCTCTTTCCAGCGGAGCGGTCCCAGCTGCCATGCTGCCGGCTGAGCTGCCAGCCTCCCCCTTCCTCCCCACTAAGCCGGAAGTGCCAGGAGAATGGGGGCCCTCTATCAACTTGCCCACAACTCTGTCCCAGGCCTCACTGAGCACTGGGCACGAAATTAGATCTGCAACAAATATGTCTCAAATGAACAGAAGGAGAAAAGGATCACAAAACATGGCAGGGGGTGGGGGTGGGGAATACATTTTCAAAAGCTCAAATGATAACTTTGTAAACTTTGTAATAAAAAAAGTGCCAGAACTCAAATGGATACCTTCGGATTCAAATGTCCCAAGAGCAAGTCCCGACAGACCCTAGCCTTCTGAAGGCCGGGGTTGCAGACTAAGTAATGTCCTCCCAGAACTCGTGCTGTGAATCCCTGGGAGTGCAATGGCTATACTCCGCTTTTGGCTGCTGACGTGAAGGTTGGAGATTTGAATGCGCCGGTTCAAGTGCTGCGGGAGAAAGACCTGGAAATCCGTTCCTGCAGAGTCTGCAGCCTAGGAAACCTACTCTGACCTGTGAGTGAGTTGGAAGAGACTCGATGGCAAACAGCACCATCATGTCGAGGACATACTCCTGTTTGGGAAAAGGGGCTTCTTTGCCACATCAGTGAGGCATGCCAGGGTTGGATGTGTCTTAAACCAATCCGTTGTTTGAGATATCTAAGAGGAGCTGAGGCACAGAGGGGAAGACCCATGCCCCACACAGGCCGCCAAAGACAGAAACGGAGGCAAAGGAGTGGTGAGAGCCCTCCCCTAGACTAGAGCAACCCCTGACTTCAGACCCCCAGCCTCCCAAACTGTGAGGAGATACAGTCACCCACTGGTGGCTGGTCTGTTACAGCAGCACCAAGAAACCAAGGCAGACTGAGCCCTGTCATATGCTCAGCATGAACACTGACCTGCCCCGGCCATGGAAACGGATTCAGACAGGCCAGGAAGGACCTAGGTAGATCCCTGAGCAAAGTGTAAGGGAGTGGTGCCCTTGCAGACCCCAGCAGACTTCCTGCAGCCAGGTTCAAGAGCTGGCAGCAGGAGAGAAAGAGGGAGTTGCTGAGAGGAGTGATTAGACAGGCCAGAGGAACAGCAATTCTGGAATTCCCACCACTTCGAGATGACTGTTCGTTTTAAACACATGACCGACGTGAAAAAAAAAAAAAAAAGGAACAAAAGAGCTGGTAAGATAGTGATGGGCCCCACGAGAGACAAGCAGAGAAGTTAGGCGACAAGATGTGGCAAAGGTGGGTCCTTTCACTCTATAAAAGATGGGGACAAGGAAGGTCAAAGGCAAGCAGTCATTTCCCATGAACCTCTGTTCCTGCTTCTTCAAGGATGGCGAAGGTGGAAGAGAGAGGTGCCGGGGGACAGAGAGTGGATACTATCTGCAAAGCATGCAAAGGCGTCGATCCACAGTCAGAGGGTAGACAGCAGAAACGCTCTCCTGAGAAACAGGACAGGACGGGGACCCCGGGCTCTGCTGAGGGGACGCATAACGAGGGAGGCACAGTCACCTGGAGGAGGCACAATGGCAGGTGCAGGGACATCTTCTCCACCTCGGTCACCTCCGACCTCAGGAAGGGACTGTCCGCAGGCTCTCCCATGGGCAGCAGAAGAGCTCCTCCGGGGCTGTGCAGTTCCTCAGATGTCCCACTGGGGCGTAGGACTCCCTCAGATTGCCACCATCTCAGGGAAGCTTCGGACAGGGCCAGTGTGCATGGGGTTGACCTGCAGATACGGCAAATTCCAGTTTGCCCTGAGCAAGTGTCCAGGAAAGAGCCCGGGGAATGGGACCCAGTCGCCCCATCAAGCAAGCGGCCCTGGCTGGGCCAGCCAGTGCTCTAGCCGTCTGGAGGGAAGCCGGCCCAGGATGGCTGCCAGTCCGGGGTCTCTAGAAAGTGTGCCTTTTTCTGACAGGAAAGAACAGGAACTTGAGTTTTCAACATACAGTTCTATACGGCTCTCCAGCGGTGGGAAACTGCTGTGCTCGGTAGTGTTTTTTGGGGCGTTGGCAAGAGAAAGAAGCACAAGAAGAGAAAGAGGAGGGGCTGGTAGCTTCAGAGATGTTAGCTGAGGTCCTCTATGCGTCTCAGTTTCACGTTCTCAGCATAGGAGTATCAGATATTCTTTGCAGGTTCTGTGTGACTATAAAATATGTGTGTAAGGCCCGGCATTATAAGCATTGAGAAATGGAAGAAGCCAAAATAGCTGTAGGCACAGCGCTTGCTCACCCCCATGGACTCATTTATGAGGAGCTCGGTCGAGAAACAGAGATGAGGTCCCAGCTGCCCTCCTGGCTCACAGACCCGACCTTCTACCCATGCAAGTGGCAGCCGCGCTCAGGGCTGATGGAGGTTCCTCACCATCCTGAGAACTGTGTTCATGAGGGTTCGCACCGTTACAAAGCCAGGCCACCAGAAAGGTCCATGTACTTACTGTCCTCCTTTTCTGGTGAACATTCAGGATACGGGGAAAAACTATCTGAGGTGGGGGTGGGGGTGGGGTGGCGTCCAGAGGTAAGAAGACAATGAGGTGAAGGGTTACCGACATAAATATCAAAACAACACACATTTCTGAAACCATTACCATGAAGTGACTGGACCCTTTACATTGTAAGCATTGAGAAATCCTCATGATTAGGAAAGGAGAAGCCTCTGGGCAGCTCAACAGTGAACTTGCTCGCTATTAGTCACCTGGACGCAATGAACAATGCCTAACCCCTTAAAAGGAGGGCTGGGCTAACCTGCTGGGCTGTTTGTTGACTGAAAGGGTGGAGAACCCAGCCCTCCTGGAGGCACCTTGGTCTGATGATCTACTTCTGAGAAATTGGCCATCCAAAATCCTATGGAAACACAGCCCCAAACGGCCATGTTCTGCATCCTACTTTGGACGAGTAGTACCCGAGGTCTTCCAAGCTTGAGAGTACAGCATCTAAAATACAGCTGTGGTATCTCCCTGTCCAGAGGGAATGCCAGTGATGAGAATAATAGATGCAGGAAAAGAATTAGCCCAATGGACTCATGGGCCATGCAAGCATCAGTCTCCATGACCCTGAGACCAGAGGAACTAGATGGTGCCCAAGTGGGGGGAAATTCAAACTCATAAAACAAGACCAGGCTGACTGGCAAGCCAGAGACTGGTGGAACCACCAAGTGGATGGCCTAGAAGTGAACTTGACCTCCATGACTCAATTGTCAACCAACCAATAGGTCTCTAAGGGCACAATAACCCTCGTGAGGTACACACACCTTAGAATAATCGACCATGTAGATGACAAGGTCAGTACTGACCCCCGAGATTCCGGATGAGCGTTCTCCTCTGGGGAACCCAAATATCAGATCATTGAACAGCAGCGGAGGCACCCCATATGCACACGTGCACGCGGGCACACACCCTCTCCAACCACACTAGCTGCCCTCTCGTTTGTTCCCTGCTGGGTTTTTTTCTGGCTGCGACTAGAAAAAAACCCCAAACATTAAAAGGCTGAAAACGACTCACCTAGCGATTTTGTAAATTTGTTTTAAAATGAATTTAAAAGTAATTTTGCTCACTGATGAACATGGAAGATCTAGAAAATCACGGGGAAACCGTTCGTGGTTAATCCTATTTCCCAAGTGGCTCCACTTTGATGGGGGTATGCGAGGGGAAAGGGCTGTAAGTTGGTCAGTTTTAAGACTACCCGGGCTTCAGTCACCACACAAGTCTCATAATGGCTTATTAGGAAGTGAATATCCGGATAGGCCAGAGAGAAATGCAAACCAGGGGTCCCTGTGGAAGGGAGCTGAAGCAAGGCTGGCACTTGGTGGGTTTCTCTCTGAGTCACAGGGTGCTGTGAATATCACACTGGTCCCAGCTGAAACCTTCGCTGAGGGGTGGGGGCAGGGACAGCCACACCGTCAGTGCAAAGCCAGAGCGCTCCTTACTGCTGCTTCCAGTCACTCTGGGGATCACACCAGGGCTCAGGAGAGTGGCTCTAAGTAGCACAACCCTGCGAACAGATAGCAGGCCAAGGAGTGAATCCCTCCAATTGCACCAGTCCTGAGGCATTCCGGGCAAAGCAGAAAGCTAAAAATGCTGAAGACTGGTGTTGCGTGGTCGCTGTGTCACTGGCATTAGGGCAGGGACAGCAAAGATAAGGACGTGACAATGGACTCTGTACCCTGTCCACGACAGACAGGATTAATCAACCGCAGCTCACGTTCCAGCTGAACCTCGGCAGTGTTTGTTCTTCAAAGCGCTGGGCACAAAAGGGGGAAGTACAAACACAAACAAACAAAGGAACCCGTGCTCTGGGCAGACAGACACGTGGGGACCGGCTGCCTTATGGCCGGCTGCAAGTGCCTTGGGAAGATAGCCGTTGGTCTATCTGTGTGACAGCATCTCTGCGGTGAACAGTCTCAGACAGACTGTCGGGGCCACGCGAGTCTCAGAGCCTCCAGATAAAAACACGCCCTCTGCAGAAGCCACCCAGCAGCTCTCTGAGGAGCCGGGACTGCCTGAGCCAGGCCGAGCAGCTTATCTGGAAAGAGGCCATGCTGCCTGCAGCCCTGGGAGATACACTTTGCAAAGAGGGAGCCGGCTCAGGGCAAGGCCCCTGCAGGGGGCCCCTCAGCCCCTTGGGCTGCAGGGTCCATCTGGGTCCTAGGAGGCTGAGGAAGGACAGATGGACAAAGAAAGCAGCTAAAACGACTCACGCACAACAAAATCACATGCCAATCGGAGCAAGAAAAACGCCTGGCCTACTTGGCATGGTGATCAGAAGGGACCCGTAACAGACACAACCTGTACAACATGAGCACCAGGAAGGCTGCTTCCCAACTGAAACAAAACAAACAGAAGATAGCCCGAGATGTACTACGTGGATAAAACTGTCTCTCAAAAGAACACACTGTTCCGGCGGTTTTTATTACACCAACGGCGCCTCCCCCCGCCCCCCCCCCTGTGCCCGTCCCCCAGAGAGGAGGCCATACGCGGCTCCCTGTGATCCATTCCCCCTTGCTACCTCCCCCCCCCCCCCAACAAAGACCATTTATGGCAAAGCAGTTGCCTAATGAGGGCACTTTCGGGAAGGGGCACATGTTGGTGGTTTGGTGACAGAACTTTCACCTTTCATGCGTGGACGTGGGTTCGATTCTCAGCCCAGGCACCTCATGGGAAACCACCATCCCCTGCCTGTGGAGGCCTGCCTCCATCCGGACCAGGTCCCACCCAAGCTTCCAGACTAAGACTGGGTAGGAAGATAGGCCTGGCGGTCTACTTCTGAAAACCAGCCAATGGACACCGTACGGATCAAGAAGATCAGACCTTGTAAGCGATCTTGGGAACGGTGCAGGGATAGGGAGTACTTTGTTCCACTGTGTTTGGGGTCACCACGAGCAGGGGCAGATTCAACAGCAGCTAATACCACAGGAAATGAAACTCACTTTGTTTCTGAAATTCCGCATAATGCACCCACCATCATTCACTGACTTAGGCCTACACGCTGGTATTTCTGGCTAAGAGACCGCTAACGGGTGCTGTTCTCGGGTCGGGCTGTTGAGTGGACTCTGGCTCAAGGCGACCCAGTGCAGAAGGGGGAAAACGCTGCCTGCTCTGTGCTGCCGTCCCAGCAGTTGTGATGGCATGCCCATTATTGCAGCCAGGATGCCCCGCCATCTTCCGGAGCATCTCCCTTTCGTTCACCGATATTCTCCTTCACCGAGCATGAGGATCTTTTCCAGGGGCTGGTCTCCCCTGAGAACACGTCCAAAGGACAAGAGATGGAGTCTCACCATCCTCGCTCCAAAGGAGCACTCAAGAGAACGCACTTTCAGTGTTGTCAGGTACAGTGCTGGCATTCATCTGTGGGGTGAAGAGGCATGGCGCATTGACGGCCGCTTGGAAGAAGCAGAGCAGCAGGATTCAAGAGTCTGCTATGTTCCACCACTCCCCATAATAAAAGGATAAGTGTTGGAGTGCCAACCACAAGGTCCACAACCCATCAGCCTCAGCTCGGAGGGAGAAAGAGGAAGCCGACTGCTCTCTTAAAGATTTATATGTAAGGTTGCTCTGAGTCAGAACTGACATGATGACAGGGTGGGTGGGGTGGGTTATACCTTCTTGGGTAGTCCCTGGGTAATGCCCTAGGATGCTAACCAAAAGGACGGAAGTTCACTTAGAAGCACATCAGAAGAAAGGCCTGGTGATCAATTTTCAACAACAACAACAAAAAGTCACCTGCCGAAAACTCAATGGAGCAGAATTCTGCTCTGAAACATATAAGGCAGGCCACCATGGGTCAGCTTCAACTCAACAGCCGCTGGGATAACCTCTTGGGGAGTTAAAAACTTGTTTTCCTACATTAAATGGAGTCGCACAGTGTTGTTGATTGGATTCCAGTGGCCCTGTGGGACAGGGTTGAACTTTCCTCCCAGGGTGTCTAAGGGTGTGCAGCTTGCTCCGGCAGAACTGCCGCTGGGTTCAAACTACTGACCTGGGAGCAGCTGAATGCTGAGCCACTGCATCCCTGAAACACACAAAACCTCGCTGCTGATGAATTGATTCCTACTCACCGTGAGCTGTGAGACAGAGGAGAAGGGCCCCTCTGGGTCCCCAAGGTTGTAGCGCTTTCTAGGAGTGGAAAGCCTCGTCTTTCTACAGAGGAACAGCTGGTGGTTTTCAACTGTTGACCTGCACTTAGCAGTCCACCATGCAACCCACTTTGCCACCGCACCTTACTGTGCCCCTAG